ACACGCGATGTATTATAAAAGAAACTCGTTAACAAGTTGAGCATAATAGGGGACCACAAAAAATATTTTAAGTGGCTAATCAAGGCCAAAAATGGCTTTGAACTCACATCTGTTGCAAGGATATTATTTTGCTTTCGCAACTTCGCTTTCAAATCTATTTCTTTGACTAATTTTGTGAGAAGAGGATGATTTTACCTATTTATATTAATAAAATAACTAATAAATAACATTATAAGACCTTTTATAGTGGTATTAATGATTCATATTGATTTTTAAATGCACTTTTCTACAAATATGTGTATACATTTACACATTTGTGTGATTAGACCGCTTGAAATATTTTCACTTGCTATTAGAATTAGTTAATTTTATATACATAATAAAGCAAATTTCATGCAGATTCTGAATATATATATATTGATTAGTGTTCATAAATGAATTTACGTCGAAATCAGCATTTAAACGTTGACCGCCAACTTAAATTCATACGCAAAATTTGGCCGGGGCGCTTGTCGACTTTATGACGTTTGACGTTTGGGCGCTCGAGAGGTTAGGGAACTTATTTGATGCGCGACTAGGGATGCAAATGATACATCAATTCTTTCAAACATCGATATATCGTTCATAAACATGATTTTTTATGAGCGATGTTACAAGAACGATGTTTGGGCTTGCCGTCAAAGGTTACGAAATATCCAACTATTCGAAGTTATAAAATTTCGTATGTTAAAAGTCGCGAATGATGATTATCACGAAAATTATGTTGCCGAAAAATAAATATTCGAAACAAAATATGTCAAAGTTATATAACGTCTAAATTTTTAAAGTTTAAAAAATTACTCAATCCCGGTCAAATCCGGTGTTTCAGCCGAAAATAAATAAAATTTCAAAAGTGCAACTGTCTTCAATCGGTAATTCCATTTTCGATGTAAAATTGTAGTTATTTTTATTGTGATAATTAACTAAGATAAGTTTACAAATATTGAAAATGGATTGGAATTGTTTTATTCATTTTCTTATTAATAATTATATTGTTGGAGCTTTAATTTAATGAATAGCTTAAGTACAGTCTTATAAGTTAATAGTTATTTCGTAATGGAAATTATTTTATGGGCTTACGGTACTCCGTATTTCGTTACAATCATTTTTCTGAATGACATAAGAACATAAGAACATATAGCTGATGTGAAGAATCGACGCTCCGGGAAGTCTGCAGTCTGTGAACACGTACAGGATCGCCCCCGTCACTACATCAGATTTGATAGACCGCAGATCCTCGCTAAAGAACACCGATTCCTTCCAAGGATGATTCGCGAGGCTATTGAAATCAAAAAACATCCTAATTTCAATAGAGAAGATGGCTGGGTGCTACCATCTGCTTGGGATCCTATAATAAATAAAATTAAATCCCAACCCAAGCATACAACTGCAAGACTTCAAGATACCATAAGTTCACACTGCATAGATCGGAACAAAAGTTAAATTTAAAAAAAAAAATAATCTATGGTTACCGCGGTTAACTATGACATATGGACGTCGAACATCTCAGTCCTGCCCGTGACCATGAGTGCTGTAAAGCGTTCGAAACGTCGGGTAATTAAAAAGTTAAATACACGCGATAAATTCCGTAAAAACTAGTATTATTTCAATATATTTATGTTATTTTAGTAAGTTTTACACCTTTTATTTTTACACATTTAATTTTTATAATTTAAATTTATAAAACAAGAATTGTGTAATTATTTTTTTTTTTACTTTTACGTTTATTTCTTTCGAATTTAATTTTAAAATAACAATTTTCACAACCTGGTTCTTAGTAAGTGGTTTCTCTCCTGGGTGATTATAGAAGATGGCAACAAATTATCGAACAAAATGGCACATACATATTAAAATTAAATGTAATTAAACTTTGAAAAAAAAAAGAAACTTTTTCTCCGACCTTTTATATATATTTGGCCGTGAAATAGAAAGAGATCTCCGCCGAGCAAGGTGTTCAGGCCGGGGAGCAGCCAATGCTTCGAGTGGTAGTTCAGAGTTCGTAACGAGGTCACAGTCATTGGATTGTCGAGTGCTCGGGCCTCAAGATCCGTTCTCCAAAACGGTTTTCCCCAATCTGGTGCTACCAACAGGAAGGTACCCCTTGACTTGTTGAGGTGTGAGAGCACTCGCGGAATCATGTTTGGTGGGGGGAATATCCATCCCATTGGACAATTCCACTCCCTTGAAATGGCATCTGTGAAAATTGCGGAAGAGTCTCGTGAATCTATTGTTACATAGTTTGGTAGTATAGCGGATCTTTCTGATGCAAAGAGGTCTATGTCTGGTTTGCCCCATCGCCTGATCACCTTTGATGTTGTCCGAGGTTTTAAATGTAAAAATTATATAATATATATATATATATATATATATATATATATAATTTTCTAAAGTAACATACTAATCTCTAATATATATATATATATATATATATATATATATATATATATATATATATATATATATATTCTTTGTAACGTCGTTCAGACGGCGGTAGTCAACACAAAACCGCATGCTACCGTCCTTCTTTACCAGCACCACGGCTGAACACCATGGGCTAGATGAAGGTTCAATGACACCATCCTTCACCATTCCCTCAGTCATGATTTCCATTTCCTTTTCACGTGCTACCGGCAATTTTCTTGGCTGCTGGCGGATAGGCAATTTTTCTCTTGTGTTTATTTTGTGTTGAACTAAGCCAGTCTTCCTTATGTCAGCATCGTTTGACGAGAATACATCTGCGTACTTGAATAACAACTTATTCGCCTTGACCATTTCATTCGGGGAGAGAACGCTGCGACAGTCTTCTAAAAGTGTGGTTACTCTCGTTTGTGTATCCTTGCTGGGAGTCCCACTCGATAGATATTGGCACCAACGCAACCAATTCACTTCCTCACAAGTACCAACCAGTGCGCCTTTTTCTATAATCTGTTTCTGGTCACAAAAGTTCAGCACATGTACTCCTGAGATGTCAGTGGTTCTGACCAAGGTTCGAGCTACTTTCCATGGAGGGTCATTGTTTACTCTTTCCACGAGTACACAACGGTGAGCTTGCCCAGGGTACCGAGGAAGACTAACCGGCACAATCGTTTCCGATCTCTGCGGAAGAACAATCTTCTTAAGGCTGTACATGTTCCCTGGTAACGCCCCTTCTATAAAAAGTTCCTCCTGTCGACATTTCAAAATACCTTGCTTAACGTCGATCTCACAACAATTATTTCTCATAAAGTCTAGGCCCAGGATGCAGTCGTCCGTTATATCAGCCACGATGACATTATGCAGGTAGATTATGTTGACTAGCTTCAACTCCAACTCCTTCTCTCCACGGATGGGTATGCGCTGACCGGTGGTTGTTACCAAATTAATGCATTCTTGGTTGTATGCGGAGTCCGCAATGGACTGATTTATAAGTTGGGACCTGACAACTGTGCGAGAGGCTCCAGTGTCTATGGTTAGTTTACACGGCATTCCGTTGACTTCGCCCTTGATGATTTGGCTGTTTGTGAGATCGAGATCCTTGGGGCTCTTTTAACATCAGCCAGCACCCGCGCCGTAGTCCCGACTTTTACTCCTTTCACTGCCGCTGCTGGGTGGTGCTGTTAGCCACACTACCCTCCCGAGACCGATCACCTTCCCTTTACTTAGGGCAGCTGGATCGAAGATGGCCCCTTTCCACACAGCCATAGCACCTAGGGCTGTATCCTATGTTGCGGTCGCAAACTGTAGCTGCTGCAACCTCCCTGACGCGATGAGAACGATGATCCTGCCGCACGGCTTCCACCTCCTCCACCTACACTCCTCCAGCTCCACGTACATGGGCCAAGGCGTCCTTAAGCGTCTCGTGATGCCCGAGCCTCAAAGCAGCTCTGACTTCAAGGTCGCGGATGCCGTCGATAAATGTATGCACCAGGTTCCCTTCATTGAGCGCAGGTACAGACCAATATGCTTTTCGAACCAGCTTCTCCACCTCAAAAGCCCACTGCTGTAGGTTTTCATTGATGCGTTGCACACGATTTTTAAGCTGCGCACGAAAGACTTGTTCCAGGTGAGCGTCGCCATATTTCGCCTCCAATGCCTCAAGGAGCTGCTACCAGCAGCCACCAGCCACCCCGCAGCTGCTCTTCCAATTTGTGGGCCTATTCCGCTTGCTGGCGGGCTTGTTCCTGCAGAATCATCATCAGAGCACCTAAGCCAGGTGCTGCAGATGTAGGAGTTGCTGACGGACCGGCCTCTGTGGCCGGCTGGCCTTCCGTCGTCTGCAGCGTTGCACCACCAAATTGTCTCTGGTCCGTCTCCTGCTGGCGTTGATTTCGGGAATGAACACCCTCAGTTTCCTCCTTAGGTAAAATCAGCATGATTTTATCCCACTTCTGACACCAATTGTTACGAATTTAAGGTTCGTGACAATAAAAACTGCCGATTGAATTACCAAAATTGACACTTTAATTACCGAAAGCAATCAAAACTTTCAAACACACTAATAATTAATCACACTTAACACTTTAGTTCACATTATTTCGCTCCGAAGTCATCACTTGCATCGCCAATTCAATACTGCACCGGTCGCGGCCCGAAACGGTTTTATATAGGCCTTTTCCACCGAAACATATAGAATATTCCAGCAAATACTGGTCCCGACCGACTAGGTGTAGAAAGTTCGAGTGTGGAGTTTTCTAGAAAGATTAGTAGAACTATTCGATACTAGATGGCGCTGGAGGTGGAAAGTTCTAGCGTGGCATTTTCTAGAAAGCTCTCCTCGCTCTGCTACCCAATACTAGATGGCGCTAGGGGTTATTAATTATGGCTTGCAACACTTTTAAGCTAATGGCTGTTGAAACCGAAACCTACAAGACAATAATAGATAATCTAATTAAAAATAACATCAACTACTACACTTATAAACTTAAAAGACAAAGGGGTACAGAGTAGTGATTAGAGGCTTACACGCGTCAGAAAATATTGACATGATTAAAGAAGAGCTACAAGCCAAATGGCATGCCATACGTCAAATATTCAACGTATTGCATAGAACAACAAAAGAAAAACTACCCCTCTACTTTGTAGATTTAGAGTTACAAGCCAACAATAAGGATATTTTCAACATAAAATACATCAACCATGTCAACGTTGCAATCGAAGCACCTTACAAGAAAAAGAAGTATTGCAGAGTCAGAGAAGTCAAAGATTTGGACGCTCTAAAAATCAATGCTTAAGACCTTTCATATGTGTTAAATGCGGAAATTATCATCCAACAAGTACATGCACCAAAACTCCGGAGTCAGAAGCAGTGTGTACTAATTGTCCCCGTGGATCTAGACTTAATTTTATCCGAAAAAAATTGAGACTTTATGAAAATAGAAATAATGATAAATAAAGTAAATGGTCTTAAATTATTTTTTCTTCTATTATTTTAAGTTTTTTTTTAATAGGAGAGGGGGCAAACAAGGGTACGGCTCACATGATGGTAAGTGATTATCGCCGCCCATGAACAACTGCAACACCAGGGGAATTGCAGATGCGTAAGTCGTATAGCCATAAGTCGTATCGGTCCGCAAAAATTTCTGGTGTTAGTCGATTCCACAAGGAAGATGTCTGAGGAAGAAAACTTCTTTTAAATCACACCGTGGTGGACCGCCAATTAACCAGATGGTATGGATGGTATCGCGAGTTTTACCGCGATGTGCGATGGTGAAATCGTGCGGCTGGAATTAATCCGAACGATTCCTCGGAGCACTCTCCGTGGTAAATGCGATAAAATACGCAAAGAGATAATACATCTCTTCGCAATGCCAGTGAGTCAAGCCGATCAGTTAGCAGATCCAGCTAGATCCCTTGTAAGCAATGTCAGAGCTGGTCGCTAGTTAATAATGATATTTTAAAATTAATGTACCTACTTGCGTATACAATTCTTTTCAAATATTTTCCCATTATTGAAAACTTCGAATTAACTGAATAATATAACGTTATAACGATATAACGTTATTAGCGAGTTTCCGCTATTAGTATTGTGCATGTTGACGGTAGGGGCTCGATGAGCCGCCATTTCTTATCCCATTTTTTATCCGTACGGACTATACAATATTTTATTGAGGGTCTGAATCATGGAGGTTAGAGAGAACGAGAACGATTGCTACGTGCTAAAGCATAGCCCGCCTGTCCCTGAACTGACGCTGGTAAGTAGTATCTGCGAAGTTAGCTGTTTATGAGTACAAGTAGATGAAGTTGAATAATGTACAAATTTTCTTCGCGGCATTGGTGAGAAAATAATCGTGCTCCGTAATTTATTAATTTTTGACAAAAAGAAACATTAAAAAATAGTGAGATATAAAAACATACTAAATGTATGTTTAACAAAACTTATTAATATAACATTTAAATTACAAATATATTTCTTTAAATTAGAATAAAAGTCGTTCATAAATGCTGGGCACGTGAGAGTTAAAATTGGACGAATTTATACCACTTTAACTTTGATGTGGAAACCTAAAAATAAAATAAAAGAATAATAAGCAGATTTAAACATGAAAATTTTTGCCAAACTATAATAACTTATATATGTCTCTACAAAAAATGTGTATAATAAATATATTATTCATCCTATACTTAAGTACCCAAAGAAATGTCGCATCTGAACATATTAATTTCATAATCTATATTCCCTGACACGGGATGGCGTCCTAGGAATAATTTGTTTCATTATTAATAAATACATAATACTTTTTGTTAATTAAGTATCTTATTAACCGATGAAAAGTAATTCCTTGGTTTTTACTGATATTTCTTGAATTATTTGTGCAATATCTAAGTACAAAAAAAGTAAAAGATTTTTTTAAATCAACACAACACGTGACAACTCTATAAGCTCCTAGCGAGTGACTGATTAAAGTGTGGTGTATGCACCGCAGTTGAGTGGAACAGTGTAGCTGAACGCAGTGTCGCCTCTAGTACGTAGTACATATTAGCTCAATGCACGCATGTTACTTTTCTCTGTAGCTCATTATTAAAAAAATTATGATTATGGAGGCATTTATGTGAAGTTCTTTTTTTGGAGAATGACAAAAATTGTAGTTGTGGAAGGAAAACATTGGGGTCACCACTATGATCGTGGATGAAAGAAAAAGGGAAGAAATCATAGTTGGCAAGTTGTTCTCCCGGGACAGTGGCCGATACTGCGTGTATTATTTTTGAGCTGTTCGCGGTAGCTTCAGACTTTGATAGCGCGATGTAGATTTCGGTCCGTTTTTGCTTGTGGCCGCGATGACAGCATCACCACGAAATTATTTTCTTCTACTTCATTGATCTCTTTATATGAAAGAAAAACATTTAATTTAAAATTGTGAAATATTAATATTAATAAACAGACAAAATACATTAAACCTTTTCTTCCACATTTATAAGCAACTTCATTATTTTATCCTGTTACAATTAAAAATAAGATTGTTTAAGGTAGGTCTATGTTTAAAAATAGCCTTTATGAGCTTCATATCTGATATTGGGGTAAGCGATTTTAGGCTACTTTACTGGAAAAAAAAAATCAGGCGAATTTAGGCTACTTGGCGTCAATTTTTTGGCGACTCAGACCGGTCTAGACTTGGCAGGGGGCAGCACTGAAACAATAAACTAATTTTAGTCTATGATTTTAGTGCCCTTGTCAATGTGGTAATTGCGATATTGTTTGGAAATATTGGTTTTATTTGTGAATTTTATTTATATTTTATATAATTAAATACATTCCAACCTTTTTCTGTGATAAAATTTTGGTATCTCTATACGGACGATAAATTACAATCGCACGTAATCTTCAAGTCGCTGCAAGGTGGTCATTGCGGGTATGTCCTACATTGCACCTTATATTTTAATTACTAATAATTTTCGTTAAAGTCGCGCGATTTAGATGTATTATTTCGTAGTTCGTCTTAACTGGTATCACTTTAGGTAAGTTTTTGTTTTTGTCCGTAATTAATTTGACATCTTTTATTGTTCTGATTACCAATTCCTTTCAGGTAGGAAATGGAGGCAATGGACATTCAGGCTGTAGAATCGAAATTAAGTGATGTAACGGTGACTGCAATACCTATGAGTAGCAAGAGCGTCCATAAAGATGTGGGACATAGTGGTAATAGTCATGCAACTATATCAACTGTACCTGCATCGTCACCTTCGTCTGTGGGAAAAGACAAAGACAATGGTATGTCAAAATACGCGCAATTACTGGCAGTTATTGAAGAAATGGGTAAGGAAGTCAGGCCAAGTTATTCAGGCAGTCGTAGTTCAGCGGAGCGTCTTAAAAGGGGCATTGTCCATGCTCGTATTCTTGTGAGAGAGTGCTTAATCGAGACTGAAAGATCAGCTAGGCAATAGCTTGATAGAAATCTTTTACCACAGTCAATTTTTAGTGTACATCATTTTGAATTTAATGTGGAATTATCATTTGTACTGCCCGTTTAGAGATACAGATTTTTTAATGTTGATGTTGGTTCAATAGTATTCTAGTTTAAAATATTATGTAGCAATTCTATTTATGATACTTAAATATGCATTTACTAAGTAAAGACTGGATAACAGTTTGCTTCTACTTTTAAGTATAAAATGAAATAATTTTACTCGCTCAAAATATTAGATATAATTGAATGAAGGTGAAAGTGTTTAACTGACTCAGTGTTAATTACTCTGTATCCTCTAAAATTTTATTATCAAAGAACTACAAATTAGCAAATTTTTAGCCATATTTGAAAACCTCTGTCATTTGTTTTAATTTTGTTTGTAATCTCAGATCAAAGGAACAATTTAATATACTAATTTAAAAATATACATATGAATAAAAATTAATAAATATATTAATTTTAACTGTTTAAAGATTCATTTGTACATTTGTAATACTTGAGTTTCTTTAATAAAGTTCATCAATAAACTGTTAATAATTTATATCTCTCAATCTATATATAATTTATTGTCTTGAAATTGTTATTTAAATATTTTTTGTAACTTGATCTGAGATGATATTAGGTTTATGTGAAATTTAAATGACTGATTTAATGCAATGAAAACAAAATATCGCTTACAAATCATAAGTGAAAGTTTTAGTGATGCAAAAATCTTTTCTTCTACATATTTAAAAATAAATATATGTGTTAAGTAACATTTTAACTAATTATTAGAATTAACTAAAATATATAATTCAGGGTACTTAGACATAAAGTTATGACCTTTCAAGTTTCTCTATGTGACAAAGCTATTTATAATCACCTTTAAAAAATTATCACAAACATATTTATGTTTCAATTTAAATTGCTTATTTATTATAAATTTTTCCAAAGATATTTCATTTTAATCTTGATATTTTGTTTTCTAATGTTAAAATCTATTTAACAATTAAAATAAGTAGCGAATAAATTTGGCAGTTGAAAGATTCCACATTGTTATATGAGATATCTGTAAAACATAGAAAATATGCCGGTATGTCCTGAAAGAAAACAGGCTGTGATTGCAACATTTATTGTGAACATCTACCTCAGACAAAAAACAAAATATTATTATTTTTAATGATTATATTGATTGTTGTTGTAAGTAACAATGAAATAACAGTGAGTTTCTATAATCTATGTACACAGATGTAGTCTCAAATGGTCATGATATGAAATTAAGTTAAGAGGCATAATATGTCATTTATACCTTTTAATGTATTGTAATGTTAATATTTAAAGAACTAACATCTACACCACATAGTTATGCATATTATATTTCAATGTTGGATATGGACATGTGAAAGTAGACCCACTCGAGAAAAAGAATGTCAAGTTTATAGAAAAATACAATTATTGAACTTATGATTCAAGTACTAAAATATTGACTTGCAGTTCTTGGATTGAAATCAACTTGTTGTGAATAATATTAATTATTGGTTTTTATGTCTAGATTCTTGTGATTATTTCAGTGTCTGATATTACATTAAAGAAAACTTCTAACTCTATGGCATGAATGTTATATCACATATATTATTAAGTTAAGGGAGATGCTATCTAATAGAGTCCAACAGATTGCCCTAGATTTGTTCTTAGTCTGCATTTATGACTGCTATGATGTTCTTTCCAAATTGTTATTCTGCCATGTCCATGTGTCTAGAAGCTGCAACTATGTGCTTTTAAAAGAGGCAGTATAGTGATTGATTTTCTTATGCAGTAACAAAATGTTAACACTGTTTCTGTTTGTTATC